GTTTCCAGGGGGCAAAAAACTATTTTGGGGAAGAAAAACAAATTATTAAACATTTTGCATTGGAGATGATATTTGCATTTAGAAGTTGACTCACCTCCATTCCAGAATGCACATTAACCCAAACATGTGGTTCGAATGAGACAGAGAGTTTTCGCATTATTTGAGTTTCAGGCTCACTAAAAGGAGCAGTCCCAGGATTTTCTTCATATGGATCATAATCCTGGAGAGAGATGGAGAATCTTAAGACACAACAGCAACTTCTGAACAAGGAAAAAGTAATATATAGCAGAATATAAAGAAGTTCTATAGCATAATGCCTCATAATCTATGTAAATTTCCACAGAATCATCACCTAATTTATGTCAATAACATATCAAGATAATCGGATAACAATTGTAATATAGCCAGACAAAGTTCAAAGAGCCCAGTCTAATAACATATTAACTGAATGGACCTTCTAATATCCTAAAAGAGAAATATACAAACCTTCTCCTTCTTGCCCCAGTCTACACTCCAATTTCGATTGAGATCAACTCCTCTTCCTGCAAGTAACTCAAAACTTAGAACATCTCAGTAGTTCTATTTGTAATAACATATTGAATTTTAAGCAACCAAGACTACTACCATTTCTTCTCTCACACAGTTCTCCTTCTTCAACAAGTTTGCGGCCATTCCAATTTTCCATCGGTACAACCTGAAAGATCAAGATGCAATGGTATTGAAGAAATCATTAGTTTTCAACGTTAAATTACAGTAACAAGAATTTTATGTATACAATAGTGTGCAAACTTGCAAGAGTCTTCACATGTTGTGAATATATGAAACTGATATCTGCTGTTTTTGAAGCCAATGTAGAAGTAAGAGACACCATCTAAATAACAATATTCAACTTCTAGAAACTTCAAAAAAATGTACTCACATACAGATCAATGCGGAAGATCAGAAATTGACAAAAGAAAACCTAATACGTAATCACTATCGACAAGAATTCAACAAGAATATATGATGGTTTTTACAGTTGTATAGAATGATAATATATATGTAAAATTCTACATTCAATAAATTCATGGATATACATTACCTTTATAACAAGCCTATTAAGAGTCTTATTTAATGCAACACGGTCCATGTTGGGTAAGAATTCCTCTTCACTTAAAATAGAGAGGAGCCGCAATGCTAGCTCAGTGGTAATGAGCTCCCTACCATGCTGTCCAAAACTCTGGAATACAAGTAATTATCTGTCAAAAACACCAGCAATAATCAATCTGAGATTTTTTTAACTCTTTATTCCAATTGAGTAGAGGATCTTGTGCAGAATACACATTTATCATAAATTTTAGTTCAGAAAGGTTAAGATTCATTTAGAGTCCGTTTTGTACACATTAAAATGAGATAATGCATTTTTTTGAAATGATGTGATGGAGAATATGTGGTTGAAAATGAAGGAAAAGTTTTTGATGTGATGAAAAATATTATTTTATTGAAGAATGTGTGGTTGAAAATGAGTAGAAGAATGAGAATGAAAAAAATAATGTGGCCCAAACAGGGGTTTAATCACAGATATTATCTGTTATCTTAATTTAAGAAATTAAAAAATTAATTGTCCCCACTTCAAATGAAGATTATATTGGAAAACAGCAAAGCAAATACTTACAAGAAGAATCCTAAACTTTGATCTGTCATCGCTCTCTCTCCTTTTCTGGCAATAAGTAACTACTGTCGTCTCTGTCTCATAGCCTCTATTTTTACTAGAAATTTTCTCCATCTGCTAAATAACAGTAATAATTAGAGAACATAACTTGTTGCGGCAATGGACAAACACTAATAACAAAAAGTACAATCCAATATCAACCGAGAGTTTATCCGGGTGGCGATGAACCAATGATTCGATTTCTTCCAGTAAACTTCCACTGTAAAAGTTCCAAGAAACAAATCCACAGTCATATATGTTGGAAAATTTCAAAAGAAAAAGGGAAAGCCAATGATTACTTGTGCATGATGAAATTTCCAGGCTTTTATGTTTGAATTCTAATATACTAACTTCCAATCTAAACAATTAAGAAAATTATTGGGATAATCCGAATATAATACAACAAAAGTTTCTGCTTTTGTATTCCCTGAAAAACCTAAGCAGCTATGTTGCTTCAAAATTTAATGGTCCAAATCATCAGGAAAATTTCAGCTCGACACAAAATAATATGGACAATGTTAATAAGCTCAATGCTAGTGAAGATTCCAGTTCTATCATTTAGATTCAAACACAGTGCAAGATAATCCTAATAAACCTAATTTACTGACAAGGAAATATTATTCAAAACTATTGCAATTAGCATCAAAATATCGCTAGTTATTCGAATAACATTTTAAAATTTTCAGAAAGTTGGATCAAAGCCAGCGAACTTCCAAATCAGGATCAACTGAAGCTTAAATTTGCTTATTACCATTAATTGCAACTCATAAAATGTCAAACGAAGAAGACAATCACAGCAGAAAATCCATTAAAAAGGAAATTAAAATAACGTCAAAAATAAATAAAACAAGCCAACGAGGTGAAATATCTACCTGGTATGGTAGAGATCGTGATTGATGGGCGTAACGGGAGGCTGAGTACCATTAGATTTTCCGTAGACGAGAGAAAAACAACAATTAATAGCAAAGAAACTGAAAATCAATTTTGAATCGAAAACTTGTCCCATTTAATCTGGTGATTTTTATAAAATCTTTGAAATGGCATTCAACTCATGATTTGAAGGAGCATTTGGTTGAGTTGTTTGAGGAAATCAAAAGACAAAGATTTCAACAAGGAAGACTTTTTTTGGATTTGAAGAGAGAAAGGGACGTTTATGATTTTATTTTGTACACGTTCAACGGCTAAGATAATTCGGCATCCAATTCCATGCTTCTGTGGTGTAGTTTCTCTTTTATTTATTTTTTGTTTTTTAAAATTTTCTTACCTATTTTTAGGAAATTAAAACGTGTTTTATTGGTCCCTTATCTATTGTTAGAATAGCACATTAGTCCTCAATTTTTCATTATTTCTGCACAATCAGTTCCCGAGTCCATTAAATTGTTATTTGTCTAAATTTATGAAGTTAAATTTATTTTTTAACTTGGATCTGTGCGTAAAAATTTGTAGTGGTGTGTATTTTCTTGACGGCCACGCAATGTTCTAACAAAGTTTTAGATGAATATGCAATTGGTATTTTGAGCTTCTACTCATCATGCTTGTCGTGAAGCATCCAACGGGCTAATCGAATTTGAAATTGTTGCTTGAGGGTGATCATGCATAGTTATTGTTCCAACTTATTAGAAACTTGTCTGGCCAAACTTTTCCTGGGATTAAAATGAGAACTTATGAGAAAACAGAACGTTGCGTGAGAGAGTGGAAGTCAAAAAGTGCGGCCCAACGGTAGGATTTTTGATGAAAATTCAGCCAAAAAGCTTGGCCAGACAGGTTCTAGATCATCTGTATTATCATTGTCAAATCTTGGTTAGGAATGTGTTGCTTCTACCTTAACCTTATGTCATAGATGGAAGAACTCAAACTATATGCTTGATCGGCGAGACATGGATGATGGCTCCACTTTAATTCCATATCTCTTGAAAGGATTGATAATGCATCGTTTAATGGAAAACCTCGTCCTGAATCGTATTTTCCAATTCGGCCACCGGAGTTTCTGATTTTTTCCAATGTGGTTAATGGATTTCCTAACCTTTTCAAATGATCTCTAGACATCAATTCGTTCTTCTTTTATGTTGAGGACCAATATACGATGTATTGAAGACCAATGTTGCAATTCTCTCAATAAATTTGTTCAATATTAAACTAAGCTCTAAAATATGTCGTTTTATTTTATTTTGGTGTAATTTAAGAATATGATTAAGCTATTTGTATATTAAAAATGCACATCTTCCAAAATTTCTTTACCTACATCCAATCACACTCAATAAATATTTTAATAAAGTTATACCGTTGAATTAGTTAAGTCAAGGATTGTGATTGCTTTAACTTTTATTTGCCCATGTATGACCCCTTTCTTAAAAAAAAAAAACTCATTTTTTTTAAAAACTAATTTTCAACCATACATTTTACTTACAACTTTTATCAATATTACAACCACACATTTCCTTATTTTTTTTTTCCAAAATTTACTAAAAATGGATCTTTAGACTTTATGCATCTCAAACATTTTATTGTTGCAGCTTGCAAGAATGCTTTAAATTTGTTTAAAACTATGGGCCTGTTTGTGTCGGGTTAAAATCTGATTTTAATTTAAATCAAAGTCAAACAATCAATATTAACCACATCTTTCATGAATCCTAAGTCTTTTCAACCACACATTTCAAAAATTTCTATTACAATCCACTAAAAATCTAATTTTAATCCCCACCAAACACCCTCTAAATTTCTTCTTCTTCTTCTTTAATAACGTCGAATGATTTCAGTTTCCTCACAAAAACATGCATAAGATGTTAAAAACTAAGGGAAGTAATTTTAATCCCCATCAAACACCATCTATATCTTGTAGTCGAAAGTGAGAAACAATGATGAACACATGATCATAAAATTCTTGTTACTGTATAATACAAAGATCGGATAAAAAATGGAAAGAAAATTTCATTTTTTTATCGAGCCTTACAATCTAATCGTCTAACGAACATAAACTAGACCCTAAATAAACGAAAGAGTTCAATAACATAAAACTTTATAGATTCAATAACTAAAGTACTATAGAGTGAAAGAAGCTCGCACGCATCTTTATGTGTTGGTATGCATCGATTTTGATAGTAAAACCACTTTTTCTTTTTACATATATTAAATTGTAAAGATGAACCACCTCCAAAAGAAAGTGTCTCAATGACTCCAATAAAGAGTAAATTTATAATCCATTCATCAAGGTACAAGCAACGAATCTCTGGAGGTTTTAATGATTGACTTTGGTACATGTATTTGATCTTTTAAAATCATTCATAATTTGTTAATATAAATATATTTATTTACAACATATTTGATAAATAGTACTGAATAAAACGAGACTTGATAATAATAGTGTTGGCATATAAAAAGTGTAGCTCAAATTGAATAGTTCAAGGGATGAAGCCCAATTGGGAAATCTAGGATAAAGGCCCAAATAGGACCATTGATGAATGCAGTGGAGGCCTACGAACGAAGTAACATCATCGCCCAATCTTGCAAGACGCCCAGAATCTGAGCGAATGGAGTGCCTTATGATTGCCCAGAGCGATGAACCCGTTCTCGCCCAAACCTTTAAATCACCTAAGATCTTAGCAAACATAAGATATTATGGTTATTCAAAACAGCAGTTATTGAGCAATCTTATCACACTCCACGATTCAAGGATCCCAGTTGCAGACGGTTGAACGATGAGAGTAATGGCAACGGTTAGAGACTGCAGTTCCACGACAAGTCAACCACCATGAAAAAAGTGGGTAGTTATAGAGCAATCAGATAGTTTCCAAACGATTTGTCATGAATGAATTATCAAGAAAGTATAAAAAGGAAGAGAAGATATAAAGAAAATGACCCCGAATCAAACACTCTAAATAGAGAATATGTAATTTCAATTTCTTAGTTTAACTTTAAACACTTCTTTTAGTACTTGTGTGCTTGAAACCCTTGGAGGCATTCTATTTATTTCCAATTGTAAATCATCCCCAATAAAACATTCATTTTTGGGACTTTGTCTCAAGAGGTCTGTTTCTTACACAATCTTCTGAACTTTTTTTAATTGTTAGCAATAATCCGCGCGAAACAATTAGGAACAAGATTTAACATTTTTTGCTATGTTTAATATTACGTACCAAATATTTTTAAAACATAAATTTTGTTCATCATACTGTTAAATATTTTCTAATAATGCAAATTCAACTTATATTTGGACCATGTTTGTAAACTATTTATAAATATTCAAGTCATTTTGGAGGATTTCACAAGTACTTATTCTCACTTAAATCTATTTATTTAATATGTATAACTTAAATCGAAATCTATTTATTTAATATGTATAACTTAAATCGTTCACAAACACTTCCTCAACATGATCATTGACTTTCTTCCACAGTTAAAACTTTAGGTATCAAAATATGCTTAAAAATTTTTATATAGATTTTATTCCAAATAATTTTAATTTCTTTACTGAAAACTGAATCATAAAATGACTAAATATTGTTATAAAAATAGAGAAAAAGAGAACGAGAGAATAAAAGTTAATAGACTTGTATCTATTATAATGAGAACAAAAGCCCTATATTTATAGGGCATGATTAGAGATACAATGGTAATAATTTCTACGGCTGTAGGAGTACAATTGTCATTCACTATAAACTTACCATTTACAACACTCCCCATTGAATAACACATTACAAAATATTTGCCTTAAATTTTTGTTTGATAAAAATTCAATAGGACAAAAAAATCAAACGAAGGAAAAATAATACTGTTATTTTGGTGTATTAAAGATAAATGTTGCGTTATTAAAACCTTGCTAGGAAAACCCAGTAGAATAAAACTTAAGCGAAGGAAAAAGAGTACAACTACTCCCCTGATATTGATCACTAAAAATCTTTGAGTCGACGTATTCCAATCTTGTGAACCAATTTTTTTGAATGTAAATGTTGGCAGTACTTTTGTAAATAAATCAGTCATATTGTCACTTGAACGAATTTGTTGAATATCGATGTCGTCATTCTTCTGAAACTCATCTGTATGAAAGAATTTTTTAGAAACATGCTTCGTCATATCACATTTGATATAACCTCCTTTGAGTTGTGCAATACAAGCAACATTGTCTTCATACAAAATTGTTGGACTATCTTTTGTTGAAATTAATCTGTATGATACTTGGATATGATGGGTCATGTTTTTCAACTATACACATTCTCAGCATGCTTCATGTGTTGCAATTATTTCATAATGATTTGAGGATGTTGTTGTCAAAGATTGCTTCACAGATCTCCATGATATAGCTGTTTCTTCACGTGTAGACACGTATCCTATTTGTGATTTAGTTTTATGTGAGTCAGAGAGATAGCATACATATGCATATCCCACTAAAACAGATCCCGACTTTTGGGAATAAAATAATCTCAAATCAATAGTACCATTTAGATAACGAAAAATATGTTTAACACCATTTCAATGTCTTTGTGTTGGTGTGAAGCTATATCTTGTAAGGAGATTTACAGAAAAAGTTATGTCAGGCCGAGTACAGTTTGCAAGATAAATTAATGCTTCAATTGCACTAAAATATGGTACCTCAGGACCAAAAACTTTTTCTCAATCTTCAAGTGAACGAAAATGACCATTTTTCATATCAAATGATCGAACAATCATTGGTAGTGTCAATTGATGTGCATTATTCATATAAAAGCGCCTTAAGACTTTTTCTATATATATGATTGATGAACAAATAATCCTGTTAGAAAATGTTCAATCTGCAACCCGAAACAGAATTTAATTGTTCCTAAATTTTTCATCTCAAATTCATTTTTCACATAATCTGTAATTTTGTTGAGCTCTTCAAGAGTCTCATGTATATTATAATATTATTTTGAAGGTAAATGTCTTTTAAATTATGAACATTAATTACACAAAGAATATGTCTTGTCAAAACCTTATTAGGAAAAGCCATGTGGGAAAAATCATAATGAAGGAAAGAGTATATCATTCTTTTAAATACGCTATAAGAGCTGTCTCATTAAAAACCCTGCCAGAAAAATCCAATGGGACAAAACTTCGATCAAGGAAAAATGAGTACAACACGTATTTACTCTCCTCATGATAATGTCACTTGAAATATACTTCGAGTATATTAAATCTTTGTAAAATAGTATCAAGACCATTTATTGTCTATAATCACATTTATTACATGTATATCAAATTTCATGTAATGTCACACTAATGAAATAGAGACTTGTAATTACATCCACCACATGATAATTTATCTATTTATACAAGTTTTTGCGAAATTCATTATATAAATAGTCGTACAATTCATATTACGACTTTACTTTTTTCTCACTAATGTATTAGAGACTTGTGATTACATTCACCACATGATAATTTATCTATTTATACAAGTTTTCGCGATATTCATTATATATATAGTCGTACTATTCATTTTACGACTTTACTTTTTCCATTTTCATTTCGCATAAATATACACTTTTATGTGTTCAGATTGTAGATCCAGAAATTTCATATTTCTCTAGTAAATTCTTTCACTAGAATCGCGTCATTTTATTTAACCAATCATTACTTCAATCGATGACGAATTTATTTTAATATCATCACTACTCATAATTTTACATATACTGTACTATCGAAAAAATTTGATAAAAAAATTAGGCTCTCACCATAAGCCAATTTATAATTGTGAGAACTATAATGTTGGCACGATGCGTAATGATTTTCCCTAAATAGAAATGGAAAGTACTTTGTTCTCAATTAAATTAAATGAGGCTTTTAGCAAGCAGTAGGGTTATCATTTATCGACATCTCAACTAACGCTTATTAAAATGTTGAGATTTATGATAACCAGCATTGACAAGATATACCGTCTTGATTGTATAATCTGAAAATTATGCTCATAATTTGAGCAGCATTTTCGCAAACTTCAAGTTGCGAACATCATGCAATCATTTAGTATTTGTATCAAATCTATTAGATACAAATAATATTTTAGATGGTCAACATGGAAGATGCCAGAAATATAA